TCTCTGTTTTGAATACAACAATGATTCTTCGTTTTACATGAGATGTTGGGTATTTCTTGTGTGACTGAAAAACTGTTGGCTTGTGAACAAGAAGTCAGCTCCATGGAGTTGGTTCATCTGCTTTTACAAGAGTTGACTTGAAGTGGTAGGTAACAACGGAGATAATAAATCTATTAAAATTGATATATTGGAATACTGTATATACCCATACAGGGCATCTAATTCCTATTTCCTACCAGGGATCTAATACAGAAAAAGCCAAAGATACTACGAAATTTTGGACGAAAACTATAACTAAAACTCCGTTGCTTTAGTCCGCAAGCGAGCTATGCCGAACGAACGACCGCCGCTTGTCCGTGAAGTTAGTGTTAATTTTAGCGGATAGAGGGTGTCGCGTGGTCAACGCAACGGATTCCCACTTGCCATTAATTTCGGTTTTCTAGACCGGAGCCGCTATTTCCTTGAAATAGCTCCTCAGTTATCCTCACGAGTCTGAGTGGACCCCGTTCCAGACCCACTACTTCTCAGAAAATATGGTAACGCCGGGAATCGAACCCGGGACCTCTGTACCTGTAGCCAGGAACTGTGACCAGTAGACCACAGAGGCGGTCTACATTACAGCGTAGCTATGGAAATTATAACCGTACAGCTATACCTGTCCGACTTCCGACTTGGGCGGTGGTAGCTGAGGTGTGGATGAATAACATGAAATAATATTTCAAGGTCATGAGGATTGTTGGAATTGGGTAGCTCAGCTGGTACCCAGAGGTTTTGATTCTGCACCTTTTAACAAGCCGAAAGTTTTCACTTTGAGGATGAAGTTCATTTATTATGAATCGCCAGTTTATTCACTCGGAACACTGAATTAGTTGAACCGCAGAAGCGATATGGGACTATGGTATGATAAATTACCGGCGGACGCAAATTTAACTAAATGCCCGGATATTAACTTAATTAAGATAATTTTCTGGAGCTGCCAAACACATCCGTTGACTTCGAAATTTCAAAACGAAAGGTTCAAGATGACTTGTAACTAGTACCAAGGAATCATAACCTATCCAAGAAGCATTGTGCAACGCTAATACAAATCGTGTTTTCCAATTTACTGCTTCGAACAGAGCTCCTCGCCCCAAAATCGAATATATACACCCCTGTTGGTAAAATACTAAAGAAAATAACGTCATCTTAACTAATACATTTTCAAATCTGCAAATCATCGGCTCCAGGACGTACTCGGACCGGCCGGATCCCACTGGACCTGACTTGTGACAGAAATTGCTTCCTGCTCAGATTTCTGACTCAGACCTCAGAATAAAAAAACTCAAGACTTAATGATTGATGACTCGGACAACAAAACTTGGAATTGCAGCATCATAGGTGGTTGGTTCGTTGGAAAGGATTCTTGAAGTAAGCCGTCATGTTCTTATGTCGGGCTTTGCCTGGAGAGGCTGAGGCACACAACGAAGAATTCGGCCGCGATAGAAGGTATCCCAGCCGGGTTTTGAAAATGGTACCGACCTAATACGAAGTTGGAGCTTTTGCATTACGCGCATAAGAATATGCTGAACTGGGTTAGTATACTTACATAATTGAAATAACTGCGAAGTCATGGTTAGGAATGAAGGACGAATTTCAGCAGCTACAGGCCCCTATGGGCCTGCATCAAGCTTACCAGCCAATAGAAAACTCTTGCGTCATTCTCTCAGAATGCTCAGAACCAAACAGAGCGACTGCCCTAACCGAGCTTCACAGTGATGCAGTAACGTCATTCAAGGTGGATTCAGTGCGTGTGTAAGCAGCTCGAGGTAGATATCAGTTCGAAATGTAAGTTGTTGGCTGAGCAACATAGCAGAATGCATGTGGAACTGACTGAGGGCCTCTGAAGGGAAACTACTGTTTATACCAGCGGCTCACTACATTACAGAAACACACACCCACACGCGCACGCGCATACATTATTGTGTATCAACTGGATGTCTGCAACAGACCATCTCAGTGCCACGAAACTTTGCAAGGAAGCTTTACCTTTAACATGTCTATTTTTTTAGATATAACTTCAGTGAAAGTAAGCTTATATTTCAGAAGAATATATCACCTCCATGTTGAGGGAGGAAGAATAGCTAAGACAAGAAACCTGTATGATGGAGGCGTCTTGTTGTGTAGTCTAGTAAATATTTCCTTATTGCCTGTTTTACACCGGTTTCTTGTTTGGTTTACTCTTCGATTCTGAAGATGGAGGCAGTATGTTCCTGCGAAACCCCTGTTGACTTTGACCTTACTACACGATGTTATATCCTAGTAGATGTAACGCTTAAAGTACTGGTTAATTATTAATAAGATTGGTACCTAGTATTAGCACGTTTTCAGGTCACTTGTAGAGCATGGTGGGTGATCTTAAGCGATTCACTACATTGCTTGTAACACTGAGAGCCTGAGAATGGAAAATAAGTACCGAAGTTTTTCCGTTTGCGAGAACAAGGTAGGGGGGGGGGGGGATTGTTGTGTTACGGAAGAATGTGTGTATGTTTACTGATGCAGCACTTTATCAAGAACGAATTCGGTTCTGCTTTAGAATTATCTCTGTGAATGTGTCACGTCATGGCCACGGAACTGAGCTGTGTATGTTTAACTGATTAAATAGTGTTTGTTAATGCCCGAGGTTCTTGTGTGGTTGGCACACAAGTGCGAACTGAGGGACAGCTGCTTCGAGGGTAATGAAAACAGTATATACAGAGTGTCCCAGGAGGAAAGGTCAATATTGTGGGAGGTCATAGTATCGGTAATTCCAAGCAAAAAGTCTGTATGCACATGTGTCCTATTCCGAACGGTTTCTGCGATGAGTTATTTCACTGTACAGTTCCAAAATTGTCGATAAGAAGAGATATTACATGCTGTCATCTGTAGGGAGGTACGCGTGACAAATATAACGGGTTCTAATTCGGATGATTGGATTTATTGCTCTTCGGTTACAATCTCTCTTAATTACAGTTAATACAGCACTATCGCTGATTTACACACTTTACAGGTCACCGTTGCACACGCACTAGGATTCTCGGTTTCCACTAGTCGTCTCCTAGCAACGGATCTGAATACAGAAACTAGCATTTCAGATCACTGTGAATTCTTCTTGCCATTTCGTCTTCAATCCCCCTGGATCCTCGGAACTCGACTAAATCCTCTCTTGGACTGCCATCTCGTCAAAATCAAAGTTACATTAGGATTGATAGTCAGTAAGTCGTGGTTTCGAGCTCCATCCGGGGCTCATGACCAGATATTTATTACCGTTTGACAGTTACGGTCTTGTTTTTGTGGGGCGCCCCTTCTAACGAGAGGACGGGTCTGTCTTTTGTATATGCTGCTGGCCAGCGCAGTCTTTCTCGAGTGTGAGTCCTTTGGGACTCGCGACCGTATTTTACTGCCTCAGATTTGAGACTTTCCATTTCGTCTCCTACTACTCGCTGAGTCACGGTGGTATATAGGTATATACCATGGAAGTATAGCTGTGCACATTCCTAGTCTCGGCACTAGATGGAGGTGAATGGTAAGCTTCACGCTCTAGCCGCTTTTCTCTCGGGAAAATAAACACCTTGACCCATTTCATGGGAAGACAGGTTGGTCTCATATCTTGTGCAAAGGCTGCGACGAATAGAAACATCTTTTAATCCTGTCGAGAACCGAATATCGATTCGCCGATCGACCAGCGATTATTCTAGACGCCATACTAATAGTTTTTCTGAGCATAAACATTTATAATAATAATAATAGCAATGTTACGTTTTGTAGATGTCACCACCTTGGTTCCTGTTGCTGGCCCTGCTGTCGGTGACTCTGAGTCACGGCGCCAGGATCCTGGGCATGTTTCCAATACCAGCGAGGAGCCATCTCATGGTACATAAGCCACTGATGTTGGAGTTAGCCAGGCGTGGTCACGAGATTACAATGGTCAGTAGCTTTCCGGAAAGCAAGCCGATCCCTAACTACACAGACGTCGAAGTAAAGACAACTTTAGAATCACTAGCAGGAGGCATTGGTAAGCCACTTTGTGACATACAGTGTGAATATACATGATTATATCTTATTCGCAGACACTGTACAAGTAAAATGGCTGAGGGTTTTCATATTATTATCAATAAATAAGTAAATTATGGTCTCCACTTTAATATTTTTAAACAAAATTATATTTGTGCACATGAGAACTCATTTCAGAATTTAATCTCTCATTTTGTAGCAAATCAGCAACATTTCTTGATTATTACAGATTACTTATCATTTTCGACGCCGAATTTGTAAAGTAACCTGTTTTTTATTCATATATTTCTGCAGTAACTCACCAATTCGTTGATGAAAGTGGCAAAAATTTCTTTTCTAATTTTCAGAAATAGCAACAGACGTTTCCTTTAAGGCTAGTCGTCCATTGGAAGCGGAAACCTGCGAACTGGGATTCGGCCGAATCTGTGCGAATCTGTTCGTCCGAATTCGTGCGTTCACTGCGCGTCCTTTGGCTGCGTGTTCGGCCGATGCCATTCGCGTTCTGTCATGGCGCTGTCTGAAGATTTATGTGATCTGTACGCGTTTGATACTCCTTTACTGGCTAGGTGACGAGCACAGAATAGGAGAAAAGAGTGGATTAGTGGAATTTTA